CCTAACGGTGACAACCCCCTTGGCTCCAACTGCCGAGTCAGCAGAAGCGTGGCTGTTTGGGACCTGGCAGTGGGTGTATGGACCATTGGCAGGAGTCCTTGGCCCTGTTTTCACCAGGCTTGTGACTCCGGCCCCGTCCTCACTGTCCCAGCCTCTGGTCCATGGCTCTGTGAGGCTAGAACTGGAGGCTGGACCCGACTCAGATTTGTGAGGATTTCATGGGCTTGCCTCAATTTGTTATGTTTTGTTTGGAGATTGTGTTTCCAGTGGCGAGCAGGCCGCTGGGTCCTGCTTGGTCATCTCAGGCCAGCCTTCTCTGTCCTGTCCACAGTGTTCAATGTGGGGGAGTATCGCCGCGAGGCCGTGAGGCAGTACAGCTCCTACAGCTTCTTCCGCCCGGACAACGAGGAGGCCATGAGAGTCCGGAAGTAAGACATGAGCTACCTGGGGATTGGGCTTTGCTGTGCCTTTTAGAACATCTGTCGGAGGCCGTCAGCTCTGCCCCCAGCCTGGCCTGCAGCAGCTGCTGAAGTGTCGTGTGGGATCAATCTCTGGTGTCGGTACTGAGATTCCCTGGCCAGGGCCAAGGCAACTTGGTATGAGGTTGGGAATTGGGGGCTGGGAGCCAGACTACCTGCACAGGTAACCTGAAACCCAGATCCAACTGTGAAGTGTGACTAAGAGGCCTGGTCACCAGGGGGCGAGTTGGAAATGTTGAGGACTTTGAATGGGGAATGATATCATCTGAACAGTTTGTTGTCGGGCCTTGCTTGGACACTGTTCACCCATCGACTTTTGGCACACTATGGGTGACACCACTTTTATTGTTCTTTCCAGCCTGTGGGCCAAAGCTGACCAACTCCCCCACTGTGATTGTCATGGTTGGCCTCCCGGCCCGGGGAAAGACTTACATCTCCAAGAAGTTGACTCGCTACCTCAACTGGATTGGTGTTCCAACAAAAGGTAAGACCATGTGGGGGGGCGGGGGGTGGGTGGGAGTGGGATTGTCCAGTGAGTGCCCTGACCTTGCTTGCCAACCCTCTGCAGTGAAAAACAAAATCTTCCGTTTCCCGTTGCAGAGACTGACAGTGCAGACCACTCGGGCCGTTCTGTTTCCTGGGTTGGAGTCTGATTTCACCTCTCTTTCCAACCATCTGGGTCACTACATGCATGCCCCTACTGTGTGTGTTTGGGGGGCGGCGGGGAGTGGGGGGCTATAAATGGACTTTGGGCTTTCATTGTCATCCAGAGCCTTCTGCAAAGCAGGTGTTGAGAATTTAAGCTCTAATGCCATTCCTTCCTCTGTATTTGGATTTTATTTGCAATCCTCAGATCACACAGGCTGGTGTGCTGCTTCTGTGTGGACTTAGTGGACACCTGATTTAGATGGCTGCTTATTTTAAAACAAGCCTTTAAGACCCCAGGCACTATACTATCTGATGGCTGGGCCCCATCTGCTTTCTTATCACACTTTGCTGTAGCACCCATATCTTCAGTGATCTCTTGTGTGTACATGCTCTTACATTCATGTTGGCATTTTACCCTCACTGCCGCTCTCTTGAATCTGCCCAGCTCAGGTGTCACCTGCTTTGGGAAGGTCCCTCAGCCTCCCTCTGTCTGTACATACCTTTCTCCTTTACACTCCCGTAGCACTTGGCTGTAATTCTTCCCCACTGGCTGCCAGAAAGGACTCTGTCCTGCTGATTACATTTGATGGCTCTTTGGTGTGGGTTCCAGAACTAGATGGGAGATGTCTGTTCCCTGCGATGCCTAGCACCATGCTGTGTCCAGACTAATACCCAGTCAATATTAAAGGCCCTGGGGAAAGTAGAATTAAATCGTCTGATTACTGTTAGAAGGAGCCCTGGTGGCAGAGTGGGTTACACACTGAGCT